TCTCATAACTCCTTTACTGTAGCTATTTGAATCTGCAGTCAATGGGGAATGTTTGGGGTTTTTTCCTGCTTGTGTTTCTCCCTAACCTTGCAATTCGTACCAATGAATCCCTGCAATTTTCAAAGCTAGTTCAGAGATTTGTGTTCTTCAAGAGCTCAAAAAGCTGGTAAATGTCTTGCTGTAGCTGCCTTCTCCTTCTTATTTATCGAGGCTATTTTGCGGATGTTACGAGTTTATGGAACATCCTGAAGCGCAGTCCTGTTGCCCAAATGCATAATTGCTGTGTCACTCTGTTGCCTTCAGAGATACAATGATTTGTACAAGTGATCAGACCTTAGTTTCAAGTCCTACGCTATACTGAAGATCATAAAAAAATAATTATCCTGGTGCGCTGGCAAAGACCAATAAAACTTCAATTGAAAAAAAATTCTGCTTGCTTTTACTGAGGTAAAAATCAGCTTCAGAGGAAAGAAAGAAGAAGGGAAATAGCTAATGTCAAGACTCCCAGGGAGCTCTTGCAAATTATCTACACGTATTTCACTGGGTCATGTAATGAACAAGAACTAACGAAAGGAAAGCTGCTTCCATCTAGTGAAGTCAAATGAATTTGAAATTAACTAAGTAAACAACATTTCCTAATTGTGAACTGCTTTGGAAAATAACTTTGGGATTGAAATTGTTATTTCAGCCATCACCAATGAGATGGCATATTTGGACACAAAATGTTAATGAAAGAAGATAAAGGTAGTTGCATCAAACTCAAGAAGTGAAAGTTGTGATGACAGTATATATGTCAATTATTTTCTTTGGGCTTAACCCTGAAACCCTCATTCATTCCTTTTCTATTAAAAATGCCCACTGAACTAAAATCTGACTTTCATGACTGTGTCTATGAGATTTGCTGGAGAAAAGAGTTTCAGGCCTCAGCTCTTTATTATTAAAAAGACTGGGAACTCTAACTATCATGAACACAGTCAACCAGTTCTGACAATGCATTAAATGTTGGTCAAAGACAAAGAGATCTTGGGTAAAACCAGGGTTGGTATTCACAAACCTTCACAAATTCAGGCGGAACAGATGTGAAGGTCACTCACCGTCCTTTACTTGGGAAGCCGGGCAGAACACACACAGTACCAGGGCAGAAGTCTCAGAGATGTGACTGACTTCAGGCAATGAGCTCACAGCGTGGGACAACAGCCCAGATTTGCAAAACACTACAGAGGGTGCCCAGGCTTACAAGTGAACTGGAAGTCAGGTACCTAATCTGCACAGGTGTTTATGAAAACCTTAGGAAGTATCTATCTTTTTAGATTATTTTAAACCTCTAAATGACTTGACATTAGCATTCACAGTGCCTGTATCAATTCTGAAAATGGTATTTTGGTGCTTTTTAAAATTTTACCTGCTCCAATAAATCTACAGTTATAGACAGATCAGACCAAAACAATAGCTCTTTCCTTGAAATTCACTGAAGGGTGAATTGCCCTGAAGTTTTCCTCACAAACATATCCGTAGTAGAGAGATCCAAGCATTCCTAGGCTGATTTCCATATCCAGCCTCCAACAAAGCAAAACAAGTGTTTATTTTGTTTAAAACCACTGCAGGAAAAGGTTTGAGCTCAATGTCAACCCTCATACAAAGTGTGGAAATTTAGTTTAGGTCCACCTCTGCCAACAATTCAAAACCACAGGCTGACATGTATGTGCTGCAAATAAACCTGATTCTAGAGCATTCAACAGGACTTCTCCTGTATGTGCAGTCACTCAGAAATGTGCACTTCTGCTACTGGTTGGGGAAATGAGAAATATTTAGAAACGCCCAACAATACAACATTTAAATCCATCAATGGAACAGTTAATCACTAAACAAATATGCGAGGGTGAGGGGAGAAGAAATAAATTGCGTAAGCATTGCAATCAAAGAAATGCATCACATAGAAATTATATCTTGTGTGAGGTTTAATTATGCAGCCACTATGGAGAAAAAGTTAAGATCTCTAAGTTCTGTCAATGAGGCAAGCCAAGCATGGCTGCAGCTGCGCACGAGGACTGACTGTGGGCACTCAATCATGGCTTTTTAAATTTTATGATCTTTGCTTCATGGAAACTCCCAGGGGAATTTCCTACTGGACTACCTGCAATTTGTGTTTTACCTCAGTAAAAACTGGAGAGTCAAATTATTCATATGCAAACAGCTTTTCTAAATGTTTCCATTTAAACAAAGTCTCAGAATGATTTACTGCATTTAAACAGTCAGCAAAAATAACTGTAACTTTCATAATCTATTACAAAAAAATGGCCAAAATACCACATAGTCTTTTAAAAGTAACAATTTTACCACGGCTGAATTTTCCTCTAAACAATTTCTGGGCAAAGTCTACAAAACAATCAACTGGTAGATTGTATTCATAAATACGAAGCAAGCACTAAAAATGCTTTATTCAGAGTTTGTAAAGGCTTGCTTGAAGTATCTGTGTTTAATTATCATTGGTAATTTGAAGCCAGAGCCTTCATAGTATCCAAGCTAAACACCTGTTCTTCAGTGACACTGAGCTGCTGCTTATCAGTTACAAATACCTTTAGAATAATAAGCCATAAAACATAAAAATGTAATTTTTTAGTGATTTTCCACACATTGGTCCCCAAAACTCTTAATATTAAGGGCTTGCAATAGAACGTGGCTGTGATCATATACCAACAGTTTAGAAGAATTTAAATTAAATAATCACATTTGAAAGAGATGTTCCCTGAAGCTAAAGAAGTTCAAAAAAACGCATTCAAATAAGCAAATAACATTTTTTTACATTTACAAATGAAACATCATATGAGTATTTATTGATTTTTTTTAAAAAAATTCAAAAATACATTGTAACAGAACAGAATGTATAAGTTCTTCAATGAAAGACAAAACTATGGTTATCATCCGGACCAGAATACAAATACATGCTAACAATTTAAAAATCATTTTGGGTCATTCAGGAAACATAAAACAAGCTATCTGTTTGCAAATGCAGTAGTCTTCTGCTTAGTAAATATGCCTGAGAAAGTTAACCTGTAAAGAAATCGGCTTTTAAACTCTTAAACACAAAGAGCTTTCTAGGCTGAAATGGTGAAGAGACCTGTGATATGCACCTGACAGGCCACTGAGCCATTTCCCACAGAGATTCTGTTCACTGCTCCACCTCAGCTCAGCCACCCAGCAGTGGCTGAGTTTCACATCGATACCAGACTTACTGAAGCGAGGCATTGAAAAGCATGCTCGGATGATGTAAAACCATCAGTTACATACACAACAGACAGATGTTAATAACTGAGATACTCTACCAAACTTCTTGATTTGTATCAGAGCCAAATAAAAAGTAGTAGTCTAGTTTACGGATGAAATTGATTATATTTTTTGGCTCAAGGTAAGACCCTTTAAAAATGATTTCTACATCAGCATCTAGAATCAAAACATGAAAAAAACCCAGGACAAGCACAACTAATCATTTTACAGTAACCACATACTGTAGGGAAGTAGGAATCAAAACAGTAACAAAAACTGTGCATCACTTCTATGAAAATAAAGTGTTACTAGTAGACACAAGCAACCTGACAAGATGTGAAAGTGAGCAGTGAAAACTTCGCAGACTGAATTTCTTTTCATCGGAATTCATCTGCTTCTACTGCAGGTAGGTAACAAATGGAACTCAGGGAAACTGAATTCCTGTTAGCAGCTTAACTCTACTACAGTGAGGCTCAGACTTTTACTGTTTCTTGCACTAGGAGACATTCAAATTAATGCATCAAAAATGGCATTTAAAAAATGAAGATCAAAAGGAAGTTGAATGTACATTTTAGACAGAAACAGTGTTAGGTCAAATCCACAACTGGTGATATCTGATGTACGCAAAGGTAATTTAACTATGCTGCTTATGCCAACAGAACATTTGACACTATTTCTCGAATTCTAGCAGCCTCTTTTAAATCACTTCCAACAACTGCATACTTTGTAAATTACATGGGCTTTGATGAAAAAAGTCATTATCAGGCATAGAAAAATGCTAACAGAAACCTCCCATTTCCAGGATTTGGTTACATGATCAAATTACATACGCTACAACATATGAAACCAACTTTAAATGAAACAAATTCACAACTCTGAAAAGGAAAAAAACAACCAAACAAAAAACCCCCCAATGACAGGAAAAAAGAATATTTCTGCATAGCTGGTCCTATCCTCTGATGGTGCATCACAACAAAATGAGGGTGTAATTTTGCATGTAATGGTGATCAGGAAGAGGCTTCCTTTCCCCATCTTCCACACTGCAGAAATGACTGGATGTACTACAGAGGCTGCCACTGTCCTATGAAGTGTAGGGTATTTGCCATTGCTGGATACAGGTCATCAGTGCTGAAGGACTCATGAGCTAACCCAGTGCGGTACATCTTAGATTCTCTAGTATTGACTGTGATGTCAAAAACATTCTGCACTGCTCTAACACTGGGCCTGCTCCTAGGCTGCACCTTCTGACCAAAATGTTGTTCTACAGGTTACAACTAAGAGGTGCACGGTGGGAAGCAGAGTAACAGCTTTGACGACCCAGACCAGAAGACAAACACAAAGTTAAAGTGGTGTGTCAGTACCTTCTGGATCAAAGTCGAAGAGATAAATCAGTGACAGAGCAATATTTAAAGATTCTAATGTCAAAAGGTGAAGACCCTCAAAGATGTGCAAGTAAAAAGCATAATTTAAGCCTGTAATTATTTAAGGAGAATAAACAAAGGAGAGAAAGATGGCCTGCAGTTAGGTGAATGGAAGGAAGGAAGGAACAAAAAAAGAGAAGAAGGGACATGTATATTGGTGCAGGGTTGAATCTCCTGGACCCAGAAACTGCCTTGGACACCAGCTAATTTTACAACATAAGTTACATGCATGCCCACATTCAAGAGGGTAAGAGTGAAACCTTGATGGCAATGCTATGATTCTGGCTGAAGAGCTTCATTTTCCCCCTCCCATACCTGAAAGCCTTGAATCCTTGCCAAATACTCCAGCTGTTTTGAAGGCTGCACTGCAGAACAGGGGGAAGCAGGAGATATTCCTTTTAGACCTATGGCTTCAGCAGTTGGGGATGTTCCATTCATGAGAAGTTCCCTGGCAATTGTAGCTGTGCTATTTGTTGTAGGAGATATGCTGAAGAAAGAGCTAGAAGTCTGGCTCATTTCTTTGGACGACAAATAGCTTACAGAGGTACCAGGGGCTGATTTGTTGCGACTTGCTTCCATCTCTTGATAAACATCAGGAGAGAGATGGAGTATTCCCTTTGGTGCTGAAAACAAAAGCAAAGATCATTCTCATTACTCTAGAATGGGTTTGACGTGTAGACAATTTTCATTAACATATTTTGCAGTGGAGAGCAAAGTAAGCATTTAAAAAAAACCTATCCTTTTCCCAGTAACTGTAAATGAGATTGCATAATTTATTTAGAAACAAAGCAGATCTGAAGTGCCTCTCTTCTTCCCCTTCCCCCATTCTTTTTAGGAAAGTACAAAACTGGACTTTAAAATTGCAGCTAGCACAGAATACACAGTATGAACAAATAAGGTTTGAAGATCTACAAACCATGAGGAACAGTTGCTACTGCATAGTAGTAGAACGATGGGTATTTCACTACAATCTTCTACCTCCTACCTGATACAATAATTTAGGCTATTATATCACAAATAATTTGAACCAGCCTATGTCAGCACTGTCACCACCAGAAGCAGTTCTTTTCTCTCCCACCTACAGCTGCTGTTTGTACTCTCCAGCTGCTCTATTGCTTGTGCCAGCACCAGCACCTGTAGGTCTACGCAGTGATGCTCATGAGAATGAGCAGTTGGAGGCAAAAGAAGGGCAGGACGGTTTCTTGTGGTAGCTGCACCGCCTCAAGTGCTGGCTTAAAGTGTCTGCTGAATCAAAACAGCAGCCTGAGCTTAAATAACCATATAATGTCCTGTAGCCACATGGTTACTGTGCTAATGACTGTTACGTGACAGAAGAAGATTTTTTTTCTTTTGTTTTATTCAGCTGCTTATATGGCATCCTATAGTTTGCAGACAGCTACTCGCCTTGGACAACATTCATACTGAATAAGGCAGGCATGTATGTGTCATCGTTAAGATCAACAGGAATTAGGGTAAACATTAAAAAGATCTAAATGTATTAACGTGAATTACTTTCAAATATTTCTAGTGACGTGAAAGTTAGGGATAATGTGCCTACATTTCAAAATTTTTAACATCTTTTTAGAAAATATCTCAACCCAAAACCTGCTTGAAAACAGGAGTACATACTTGATAAGTTTTGCTGATATTCCTGTGCATGGAAATATGTAGAATTAAAGCTGAAGTTTGCTAGTTTTCATATAAGGTAAAGGATTTCTTGGAAACATGAGTACCCAGTTTGCTGATATAAAAGGAAAACCTCTTTTTTATTATTAATAAACTGAAAAATGAGCTTGAGATATGTAATTTCATATTAATAGCATACTTTAATCTTCTAGCATGTATCTGAAAACAACACTGGTGAACCTGAGGCATACGGCATTTCATTTTAGGGATGATAAACCTGTTTGTTAACTGATTTAGTAATCCCAAGAGAAATCAAAGGGTTCAACGCTTAATTCATTTACAGTACATGTTAAATTCATTGCAGAATGAATTCAAAGAGTAGAAGAAAATTAATTTCCAGTTTCCAAGAAAGGATTTCTCTAATCCTAGGAGTGCAAGTAGTATTTTTAAATAAAATGTCTACCACAAAGAGAAGACTCACAAAATATTACCAGTAATTAATATCCTCATTTTCAAATACACACTGAAAATTGAACTTCCTTGCTGCTGACTCAGCAAACTGCTTACAGGTGAATCTTTTAATCGATTTACTCACACATTTGGCTTTTAAACTAATATTGCTTTCAGAGAGTTAGAACATCAGCTTATACCATTCACAAAGACATATCTGTTATTCACCTGATGGCTCTTCCCACTACCTTCCTGTTTTACTCAGTCTTAACAATTGGCTCCAAAGACAGCGGACCCTGTGCTGAACTCTGGAGCTAACCACAAATTCAAGACAATGCTACTGGAAAAGGTGGAGGACAGGGTCCCTAAAATTTATTTTTCTCCATTTAGGACAATTTAGAATATAACCTTATAGGTAACAACAACTGTGTAAACATGCAGCATTATTTTATAGCGCATAATCACTATATGATAGTGTGATTTTATACCCTTTTTCTGAGGCTATACCCTCCAAGACCCATCACTGCTCATATTGTTGAATAGTCTTATACAACAGATAACATGAACGAAAATTAAAATAGATAATACTGATATTGATAGTTGACATCAAGTTACAAAACCAAACAGGAACAATAATAGTGAGTGGCAGGTGTTCACCACCTCCTAAGACCTGCCCACTGTAGATTTGATTTCCTACAAATATTTGAGAAACAGAAATTAAAACTGAACAAAAGGTAAAACAATATACTTGTTTAGAAACAGTATGGTATTAGCAGAAATAGTATGATATTATCTCCCTCCAAATCAATTTAGAAAAAGACAGTACAACATTAACTTAAAAAAAAAAAGTTTAAAGACGTTTAAAATCTGGTCCAGTACTGCAGATGTCTGTTCCATTGATGTAATATTACTTAAAACAAACATTTTACATGCTTTCTCAGCCATTTCAATGTTTTTACATGATCCACCCAAATATCTAACTGCTGTCTGGAACAATGGTTTGGAATACTTCCAGATTACTAAGCTTTCTAAATGTTAAAATAACTAATACGCAGCATATGATGAATAAAAAGATATTGAGCAGAGTATAGCAAATGCACCTAAAGTACTGACTTTACTCTAATGGTGATGTTAAATTAATAATAGTACTTTTACACTTATGCAACACCTTTTTGCTAAAGACTTCAAAGTGCTTTATAAGCAATAATTAATTTAAATCATACATTGGCTCTGAGAGGCAGATATTATATTACCATCATTGATTATCTCTGGAAACAAAGTAATGTAATATTCCAGACATTACATTAATATAACTGCAAGCTATTAACTTTTTATATTCAGGGCCTATGTTTCATGAAGCTTCTTACAAACTGTTTTTAAAAAGCCAATAAAAACTTGGTCTCTTTGAAAACTTCTATCAGGCATATATTAATTGTAATTCATTATCTATTTTTAATATATTATTGAGGATGCTTTTAGTATCATTCCTCACTGTTGTCTGCTTACCTCGACTCTGCTGAATTGTAGAAGAGTGTTTACATATGTAACAGTTCAGTTACAGTAGTAAAGATGTTATCACAAGACAAGGAGTATGACATCAACAGAGGAGTAAGTGTAAGAAGAAAAGAACTCTTCAGAAATTATCTTAATCACTCTTCAAACAAGCACTTTAACAAAAAACATGGGAGAGAGAAACACTATCCTCTAACACTTTTATGCACTGCAAGAGAACATTTCTAGGCGAATACTTTCATATTTTTGCTACTCTTCTAGCTAAAAAAATTTGGATTTTTATGTCCACTAAATATTTATCGCATACTAACCTCACCATACTCCAAAACTGCGATCCAAAGGTAGCATCGTAATTATTAGGCATCACAGGATCTATAATACTACGATTTAGACCAACAACATAGCACCTTCTGCTGGTGCTGGACATTAACTTACAGTCGTGAAACATGTTAAAATAATTTCCAGTTACATTACTTAAACCTGCAGGCAAACGTGCTATGAAAATACGCAGGCTAGCTATGCAATGTCATCACCAACATTTGAAAAACATGTCTTACTTATCCTTGGCAGTAACTGTTAGCAGTCTCTCACAATCTTCTGAAGTCTCTGAAAACCCCACACCAAAGACCTGTCTTACCTAAGAATAAGTTTATTGATCTTCCATAGTCTACTTCTGCTATCATGTACTAGACAACTGCGAAACAGTTGAGACTCCAAGGCAAATGTACAAAAAGGCCCACCTATCCTTCACAAAATTTCTCCTTGAACCATAATCTTGGTGCTTTGATTCAACTTATTTTCATAGCAGCAATAGTAGAGGCGGTCTCCAAAAATTTATTGGGGTGGTGTTATTTTTATCCCTAACCCTTTCTCTATAGGATGCCCTTGGCTGGGAAGACAGTGGAACCTCTCTACAAAAGGGTTCCCTACTGCCTGGACTTTCACTCTTCTGGAGTTCATGGAAAACAAAACTAACCATCAAAGTAAATTTCTGCATGGGGAATGGAGTGAGGAAGGAGGACAACTGACAATATCACCAAATGAGCCTCAGTGTAATAAGACTAAAAAAATTGAATTTGCTGATACAGAGACAGTGACAAGTTACCCCACAGCAGAGGGCTACTAAGTTAAGGGAAGTTCAGAGTAATTACAGTGTTGCCTGCAGACTGACATGTATTTAGTGTCTACACTGGTACCACTGGTGTAACATCTTAAACTTTCTGTATCTGTCAGGAAGATCAGAAATCGTGAAATTTTGACTTTATCATTCAACTCCAGAAGATGACCTGCAGAATCAGGCTTGTATTGTCAATCTGGAGATATATATATATATGTACCAGTGCTAATTTTCTCTCTTTTCTACTTGATCAACACTGTAGGGATACCCTGCCTTTACTCAATGACTTCTCCTGTTTCAAGGTTACTCACTGACTTTTCATGTTGTAAGGACACTCAGTATACTGGGTCTAAACGACAACTTTATTCTTTCTCAGAAAACTACAATTTTCTCCCTGGGCTCTCACTTGTCCTAAGGAAAGCTATACTTGTTGGTGTGTCAGAAACAGTGTCAGCTAGTGTATGACCACCCCTGACACCCTTGAAGAGCACATGGTCTACAACCAGTGATATGGGGCACCAGCATGAAGGAGTACTTTTGTGTCTTGTGTAATGATGCAAGGTAAACCATGATATGATTCTGTATATGACATGCTCATAAATTAACACCCTGATATTTGAAATAATCCACCACTGGATGAAAAAAAGTTTGGTCATAAAGAGATAATCAGTATTTTCAGAACTGAATAAAATACTTGATGGTTAATCATCAAAAAAGCTTTCTTTCAGATATCACTACCTGTATTCACATTGAATAAGACTTCTTATGTTGTGCTGCTTAAAATACATGGCAAAATCTTGTAGTAAGGCATTAAGCAGGAAAAGTTAGACTAGTCAGATCTAGACCCTGACTTTGCTATTACGTAAGTTAAAATGGACAAAACCTTAAGAGGCATGAAGGACTTTCACATGCAACGAT